ATTTTCTTGATGACAGAATGTCCAGTATATCTAATGTTCACGTTCGGGATAGTTAACGGCAGTTTCATCACACATACGCAATTATCATACAAGTCGAACGCTCTTTGAAGTTGAGGATTGGCACTAATTCGTTAGATAAATACTGAGTATCAAATTCCTTTTTACTGTCTTAACTTAACTTGATAGGTAAATAATTTTAGCATATGTTAAAAATAAGCACTAGAAATAATTCTTTTCATAAAATTCAATTCTGTTACATTTCAACTGAATTTGTGAAATTAACTTTATGACAGTTGTCATGCTGCAGATCTGTAGCTCGCTAGCTGTTCTAAAAAAAGTTGAGATGGATCACCAGAGAGCTACAGTGCCATCCATATTATCTCAAGTTCAGGCTCAGAAGGACTATTAAGAACGGTTGTAAGGAATGTTTAACTGTAGAAAAATTGAAGGAATGTGTTAGAGACACACGGTAAATAATATTTTTAGATTCAAGCAGTTGAAAAACACGGATATTGAATATAGCTTCAGTGCAATTTTTTTCTAGTTTTTTATTCTTCGTATTTCTCAATTTATCATGTTCAAATAACGTGTATTTATTTTTATTAGGGCACATTAAACCTTATTTGTCAACCAGTCTGACAGTGTCCATCTGTCACGAGAACTTTAAACTTGATAATAACTATTGAATGAGTTGAAATAGGACTTTCATATTTCACATGTGCATTATTTGTGACATGTAATTTTCAAACATACTTTGATTTTTAACCCCGTGACCTTGATCTTGGAGTTTGACCTACACAAAAAATAACATTACTTTAAATTGACCATAACTATTGAAAGCTTTCATTTTATAAACATGTACATGTAATACCTGTGTCAACGCTTTTGAAAATTCATTATGATTTTTGACCCCTTTTGACCTTGAAGTTTGACCCACTTTTTAAAAACATTAACCATAGTCACACCTTTTGAGAGAAAAGAGATCGATTAGGGCTTTTATTTTACCACTATGTATTACCTGTAACAACATTTTTTAAATACCGATACGCTGATTTTGACAACGTAACCTTGAGGCTTGACTTACTTTTCACAATTTTAATCTTGATCATAACGTTTGAATGAGAAGAGATAGGGTTTTCGTATTACACAAAAATTAAATGTATGTGACCTGTGATGAAATCATTTCAAATACTAGCATATAATGAACTTTGACCTTGAAGTTTAAGCGGCTTTAAACATTGCTTAAAATTGACCATGACTTTTGATAAAAAAAGGATAACGCTTTCATACCTAGATTTACACATGTATACACGTATTAGCTGTGACAAGGCCTATCGAAAAAAGTATAGCTTAAGAATTCGTCAATACAGTAGCACACAAATGGCTTTGCTTATCACCAGCGTGTGTCATGGTGTGACGTAAGGTCATTTTAACAAGGTCAAGGCCGTAAACATTCCATTACTATCTTTTTTAATAGTAAAACATAAATAAGATGACATCTACCCTTAAAAGATTGAACGTGGCATGACCTTGACCCAAGGTCATTTCTCCCTGTCCGCAGCTCCGACGGAAGACCTACTCGTTGCTTTGCAACGAGCTCGGCTCTAGTTATATTCTCTTTTTTGCTAATGTAAAGTTTCAATTCCCAACTGCTTAAGTACTTTACTCTTCCTTTGCTATAAGTACAAACCAGTAGAGCTTCAGTCTCGACAGAGACTTCTGGTTTAACCCCCTAATATTAAAACGCGTAAAAAAGGCTCCCATAAATTTTCAACGTCGTGCATGTGAACGACAGTAATGCCAATTGCCGTTCATACATACTTGTTTAAGTTCTACCTGATTAGTATATTGAACGTATTTTTCGTCCTGTTTCCCTTCCTCCTGTCGGCGAAAATTATAGTATTTTGCTCATTCTGTAAAAATCATATACCTTACCTTGGCTAAATCTGTCTAAGATGTCAACATATCTAGGATCTCGATCCATTTTTTCATCCATCATTTTTGCAAACAGCTTTGGTTTAAAGCTAAAGTATTTATTTTACAATAGGTTTTCAGTCATATTTTTTGTGTGTAAATGCATTAAAAGTGATATGAAATTTAACTTGACGTTTCAGTGCTGAAATTCGCGGAAACTTAGTTTGCTTCCCTAAGTTTTCGCAACTGACATTTGATGAACAAAACAAATTTATTTAAACTTTGGATCTGTTCGTTATCTCATTAAATTTCTACATGATTGAAAAATGACACACGTTAAACGACATAAAATCCACACGCCTCTGAAGAATTTTCAGACTTTGAAGTCACCAACACTTGCCGGTGAAGAGCTGCAAATTTTGTCCAATACTCGGCTCTTAGGGCCATTGAGCATGGAGGGATCTTTTTCGCGTCAGCGCCTTATGCGACAAAGGATCTCGATTAAAACAGTCTCAAATGAAGGACCGGTCTCCACGTTCCACACTGGGATTCAAACTCCAGATGTAAGGATCAACTCCTTACTTCGCGGGTCTCGAGCAGACGCTCTTTAGCGCCCTCGTACATGGGCGACATGGTCGAAGGAACTGCAATTTTCACTTCAAGCATGGAAGAACTGGTGCTTATTATAAACAAGAGAACCATGGGCCACATCGCTCACATGAGCACTGTGGCTAAGAAAAAGTGGAAATTGGTTTATAATTGAAAAGTTTAAATCGAGAAGTAGTCCCATGACCAATCATTGATTTGCTATTCCTGAGAAGATGATTTTCTATAGATTTCTATGTAAAACTTTGGTTGGCCATTGTGACCCTGCCCTACCCTCGGGGATCATGATTTGAAGAAACTTGAATCTACACAATCCGAGGATACTTCCATATGAATATCATTAATTTTGGCTTTGCAATTGCTGAGAAGAAGATTTTTAAAAAGTTTTCCTACATATTTCAATGTAAAACTTTGGTCGGCCATTGTGGCCCCACCCTACCCCCGGGGGTCATGATTTGAACAGACTTGAATCTACACTACCTGAGGATGCTTCCATATAAATATGACCAATTGTGGCTTTGCTATTCTTAAGAAGATTTTTAAAGAATTTTCCTATATAATTCTATTTTAAATATGGTCGGCCATTGTGACCCCGCCCTATCCCCGGGGTTCATGATTTGAACAAACTTGAATCTTGAATTGGTGACGGATTTTTTCTGTTATTTCCTGATCATGACAAGGAGCACACACAGCGGGTGTGACCGGTCGGCAGGGGATGCTCACTCCTCCATGGCACCTGATCCCACCTCTGAATTTCGGGGTTCCCTGAATGCTCTGCTCTTATTTAATATTGTTTATGGACTTTGAGATTGAATACTGTTCGTTATCTCCACATCCTTCTTTCAGAGTATTTAATATATGATGGATATATAAGGTTAGAAAATGATGTCCTTTTAAGGATCGGATACCTTAAAACACATGATTTTGCTGCATGGAATTTCAATGATTTGGAAAGCATGTTTTCATCTTTTACACCAGTTTCATTTTTTTAGAAAATCAAAAGGCAATAATATTGTATAGAAGAAGGATAAGGAGATAACGAACAGTATTCAATATCAAAGTCCATAACACTACAAAATAGGAGCAGAGAAAACACGGACCTCCGAAACATCAGAGGTGGGACCATTTGCCATGGAAGAGTGAGCATCCCCTGCTGATTGGTCATACCCACAGGCCTTTGGATCGCTTAAAAAAATTGCGTGTTAAAAAAAATAAAGGTATGGAACTCGTACACTGGGTACCCTATTTCGCTAAAAAATATTTTATATTCTAATGCTCTAAAACTCTACTTTCTGTTGAAATCTGTTCTTAAATAAATATTCTTCAATTCTACTACAGCTCATTCCGCAATCCAAAATATTTCTTGAGATATTTTAAAAAATCAATAATCAAATGACCTCTCTTTGACTCGAAATGAGCTTGGGCCCCTGATCATTCACATGTAAACAGACGGTGTTTGAATAATCTCTGTTGAGATTCTGCTAGGCTAGATATTTTGACTGACGCCTACAGAATCTCAAGACCCTTCTTCATAATTCATGTCTGGAAGTTGAGCCCCAGCTTTGACCAACTATAGCAAGAATTATTGACATAGGCAACACTACCGCTCACTTCAATTTAGCCATTTGGTTATTTATTTGACTCTCTGTCACTATTATTTCTACATAACTTACTGTTTAGGCATGTAAATCCCAACACAAAAATATTCACTGACATTTGCATTCAAAACAGGGCTCTTGTGACGAAATTGTTTACCTCCTCACATAAAAGAGTTCCTATAGTCTGTTTTCAATACATGTGATGTTTAATACCCACTGTAGACAACTATTCAGAATCACATGTAGTCTTCCTAAAACCTTTCCTGTACACAATTTTATATATAAACAGCACAAATAATTCGGAGGTACCTAACTAGCTGTCATTTATCCAATTATAACTTGTTAAATTTCTAGAGGGTTAGGTAGACGAAACGACTGATCCTTATTGTAAACTTAGTACCTACTTCGCTTGATCAGGATTGACACCTATGACGTCAGAGAAATGGCACGCAATGTACCTAGGCAATCCAAAAAATGGCATATTGAGAAATTTAAATTTCGATTCATTGACACTCCCAAAGTATTGATTTTCTAGCAAAAGAAAATTAAATGGTCGATTTAAAAAGCATGTAAACAATTTTAAATCAAATTTTGAGACATGATAAAAAAATTCAAGAAGCTATGCATAATTCAATAGGTCGTTTAATGCGTATACATAATTATATGCATTACACATTGGTGATTTAAATAGTCATTTGATCACGCAAGACAGTATTGTAAACTTATAGAACATTAAACACCGATTCAGCTTTGACTCCTTTGAAATTAGGTAAATTGAATCATCATCATTGTATTACGTACCTTTTATATGATCCACTGCTTTGCATGATTGCAGCAATGTTTAACAGGAAAGAATATTGAATGGCTTCCAGAATGTCTTTATTCTTTTATTAATGATTATATATTTATAATGCACGTCTTTATTTTACTTGTACTTATAACTGGATCGTATGGATATGGTAAGTTTAAAATTACATATATTACTATTTTTTCCTAAATTGAACATTTAGGTGCGGAATTTTTTTATTTAAAGATTGCAATAAATTCAACTTCGATGTTGAGTACAGCATTAAGAAAGAAACATGTAGTTGAAAGAGAGAGAAAGGCTACCTTTTTAATGAAAAAGAAATTTTCCTCATGTTATTTACAGCTTGTCAATTTATGTGCAATTTGCTAAAATTTAAAGTTTAACTTAGAAAAGCTCAAGGGATAAATAATAAAAAAAATCCTACCTTTTAATTTTGAATTTATCCACATAGTTCATCGCTCAAATTTGCGCAGGTGTAGTTCAGTGGTTGGAGTGTTTTAGCTTAAGTCAGGGTTTCAGAAGTTGATCTTACCGTCGCGGTTTCAAAACCAACTGCGGAAGTAGTGTTGTTTTTCAGATAAGACCGTATCAACAAAGACCCCGTTTTGCAAGATAGATTGAATGTATATAATACATCCTATTCGAAATGTTTAACTCAACATGTATAGACACATCACCATATGCGTGTGAAGGGCTTCACTCGGCTCTCAGGTCCATTTAGCTGTGGGGGGGTCTATTGTGCCAATGCCTTCCTGACACGGGGGCCTTTGTTTTTAATATCTTATCCAAAGGACCGGCATTTTTTACTTCAAACTGCCAAGCGCAAAGTGAAGGAAAATTTCTACCCATTTTGTCAACGTAGCCCAGTAATGACCGAGATTCGAACTCGTGACATTCCAATCAAGAGCGACTACTCTACCGATGAGGTACCCTTCTATTGCACTAATTTTTTTTTTTGATTGATGTAATTGAATTTAAATTTTTAGGTCACCTGAGTAACTCAGGTGACCTATTGCTATCTGTTTTCGTCCGTCGTCGTCCGTCGTGCGTTAACATTTGAACATTTTCAGCTTCTTATCTGAAACCACTGAAACAATTTCAACCAAATCTGGCATATAGCATCAATATGTGAAGGGGAACAAAAATTATGAATTTCATGATCCCTGCCCCCCTGGGGCCTGAGGGGTGGGGCCAAAACCACTAAAATTAGTGCAATCTTTAAAAATCTTCTTCTTTACTCCTGGACATCAAGCAGTCAAACTGTTTGCATGATTGTAATCAGCATTAAGTCCTCTACCAAAATTGTAAAATTCATGGCCCTGGGGTCAGGGGTTCTAGTGCTAGGGCGGGGCTAAATAAGTATATAGTGAAAATGCATTATTTCTTTGAAAATATTCTTCTCTGCTCCTAGGTATTAAATAGACTAACTAAGTGCAAAGTTATAATGAGCAAGAGTGCCTCTACCAAAATTGTGAATTTTATGGCCCCAGGGTCAGGGGTTCTGGTGTTAAGGCGGGGTTCTATTGATTATATAGTGAAAAAAAAATGAATTCTTTGAAAAATTTCTTCTCTGCTCCTGGGTATTAAATAGATTAACTAAGTGCATAGTTATGATGAGCAAGAGTGCCTGTAAAAAATTGTGAATTTTATGGCCCCAGGGTCAGGGGTTCTTGTTTTAGGGTGGGGCTCTAATGATTATATAGTGAAATGCATGAATTCTTTGAACATCTTATCCTTTGCTCCTGGTCAATATGCTAATGATCTAATTACATATTTAAGGCAGGATTTATTTTATTTTCAGTTTTACAAACCCTCCGCTCAAGGTTTTGAATTTTCAGAAAAAAATAAAAAAAATTCTTTCCGATGTGAAATTTGAGTCGGGATCGAGATTTCAAATTTACGAACTTTCACTTCCGGTTTTACGATGAAATGGCGGGTAAATAAAGCTAGATCTGAGAAGATAGCTTGGTTTTATAGTGTAAAATTCATCGATAAGAGTACCATTCAAAACGTTTCACACGTTCAAAGGACAAATAAAATGCTGACGACTTTGTTGCACAATGACATGCTGGTGAGATAATCATGTATTCGTTTCAAAAGTAACTGTAAATTATTTTCCTCCCCCAGGTCTTAAACTGCCCTTGGTAGCTATCTCATATTGCCAGGACATTGTTTAGGTCTCTGTTATAGCTTACAGTTTAAGCACCATTCTTTAAAAAAGGGTTGCTTATGCATCAGATGTAATGAATAAAACTGTGGGAGAAGTTAAGTCCATTTGAGGAAGAAATAAACAATAACCAGAAGAAATGAAAAAAATTCAACAATTAAAAGGCAAGAATATACAAATATATATTCAGGCATGTAGTATCATTTGTATCAGCCAGAAAAATTATTTTAAACTTAACTGAAAAAATGCTCACCCTACTCCGCAATACTCCCTGTCTGTTTTATGACAGGAATTATAATTTTAGGCATCAAGTAAATTTTAGAACAATGTCTACACATTCACCTAACACATATTAAAAAAATGAAGATATATTGAAAGACTTATAAAGAATTGATTTTTTAAAATATATTTTGATCAACATCACTAAAGTTATACAACTAGCCCAAACTGGCAGATGATGAAATAAGCAATTAAATGTTCTACTTTCCTATTTGTAAGCATTTTGTGTCCAGTGGTAAGGAGCCTATTAGAATATCATAAAAAAAAGAATATACAAATGTTAATAATTGATTTATTAATTTTTTTTTATTTCCTTCTCCTTCGGGACTTTTTTATTCTCATGTTCATAACTAAACCTAAACAAAAATGCTGGCCTTATATTGAAGAAAGGGGCCTTTTTCAAAATAGATAATTTCAGGGCCGCTGGGTCAGGGGTAACAGGGGGGTACTTTGACTAAAAATAAATTAATGCTTTGAAATCTGCACTTTGATAAGCAATGGTGCCTCTTTCAAAATTTATGAATTTCATGGCTTTTGGCTTAAAACACGAACCAAATACAATTGCTGGAAAGTTGTTACATGATACTCAGGTGACCTATAAGGCCCGTGGGCCTCTTGTTATTAACGGTTTTATCTGAAACAAATTTAGTTCACCAGCATACTTATTTACTCTTAGAATTTCGTCATATTTTGTACATTTTTTCGAGTCCAAACTGCGTCTCACGTTTTATTATCATAAAAAATATGGAAATTAGTTCGTTTGGATTTTAGCAATTAGTTTCACTTGTGAAGTGTCTCAGTTTGAAGTTTTTTAAATCGCTAAAAAAGGGAAAGAATTCAAACACTTAGACCGCGGAACATTTACTGGCAAAATTTGAAATATACGGCTTACGTCATTACTATCTCTTACAATCAAAACATTCAGTGATAGACAATGAAATGGGCGGGTATAATTCGACGCGGACGTGGGAAATATCGGATTGAAATTGCAGATCGAAATTCCTTTTTAATCCAACTGAGCAGCTTTCAAAGCAAAGAGTGAATGTTTGATCCAATACTCAATTAATTTCAACTCCAAAATACATATTGTTTGAAGTTCACATTAATATGAATTTTAGCTTATAATTTGAAAAACGCGAAAGATCATGGAAGACAAAGATTATTTTTCAGGAGATATTTGATTCTAAAAAAAGGGGGGGGGGGGTAAAAAATTGTCGAGTCAGGACAATATATTTTATTTCTACGATTATAAGAGTGCTTGAGTTTTATACTTATTCTCACTGAAATCTGTTGGACAACTTTATTTAAAAATCATACAGCCCCCTCCCCCAAACAACACCAAGATATACATACATTTACCAAACAGAAATGAAGTATTTGTCCCTTAAATATTAATCTTTTTAAAACACTGGACAAAAAAATTCAAACTGTACCAAAATTGAAACAAAGTGCCTTCTAGGGTAGCTGAGGTGGTTTGAAAATGAATTTTCGATCAGCAATTTCAATCCGATGTTTTCCCCACCTCCGCGTCAAATTGTACCCGCCCATTTCATTGTCTATCACTGAATGTTTTGATTGTAACGGATAGAAATGACGTAAGCTGTATATTTCCAATTTTGCCAGTTAATGTTCCGCGGTCTTAAAGTGTTGGGTTACAAAAATGCTGTGGTTTTATTGAAATGTTTTGTCAAACCATTTTTAAATAATGGTTTTGTAATCAGAAATGTACTTGATCTTTATTAATATATGTAAATTCCATGTCGAGTGAAATCTTATTGGCAAATGTAAAATCTCACTAAGAATAAAAAGATACTGAGAAACACCAATATTGGTAAACAGGTGTACATATACACTAAGTCAAAGCGCTTCGCGAAGGAGCAGATGCAATTTGTTGTCGACTCATTAGTTGAAGATCTTAGTAAATGAAAAGTGCCTACAGATTTATCAAATTTATTAATAAATTCATTTAACGATGCTTTATAACTTAAGTTTGGTCAATTAAGTTTTTCGGGGGATAATTTGTAAGTTAAAAATGATTAATCATATTTTAAACTAATTTTAAATGAAAAATTAAGAAAACCGGTGATGAATAGGGGAGGTTTTTTTGTTCGACATAGGAAATGTATCCGGATTGCCTACACTCTCTGGAAAAACGGTAACTTGTATGTTCATGACCTTTTTTTAAAACACTATAAAATTTAGAATAGGTATTGAATTACTTAACACAATATTTCAAATTGAAATCCATGAAAATGCTCAATTCTGATCAAGCCCTAAAGTACGGAAAACCGAAAGTTGAAATTGATTATGACGCCATAATTGATCTAGCACAAAAATAGTCTAAAGTCATTAACTACACCTTGACCTTAACCTGGAAAAATTTTAAGCCCGTAGCCTTCTGGATAGGGCAGTACCGAGGGGGGGGGGGTATGCCCCTTTTGAAGGATGCAGTGCATAACATTTGACTGCTGTCGATCGGTCTGTCTCTCAGTCAACCAAGAGTTTCCGTCAATTTTTTTTTTTTTGCAGAGGTTGCACAAACTGAAATGAAATTTGGCATACAGATTGTTTTTACCATGATCACTGCCTGTAATAAACGCTTGTTAATTTTTAAATGTATTTTTTCTTTGTAGCTCGTTATCATAGTCAAATTTCCTTTCCTTTTTTATCAGAAAACATAGCTCTAGGAAAACCAACCAATCAATCGACTACGTACATGTTTTCATGGAATTCAGGGAAGGCAGTGGACGGAGACAAAATAGATATCTCTTCTGTGGGTACTTGCGCAATTTCTAAGGATAATAAAACTACAGCATGGTGGTATGTCGACCTGGGAAAGCACCTTCCCATAGATCGTGTCTCAATTTTCTACAGGGGAGAAAACGCGTCATTGTTATGGGGTAAGAATACCTATTACTGGAAGGAAAAAAAATTACTGGCGAAACAGCACGGCCAAAAAAATACAACAATGTACTTCTCTTCGAATAAAATTCCTTGGAAGAAAATGAAAATGACTGGGAATCCTTGCCCGAACTTCGACCGTTTGTAACGATTAAAATTTCTTGAAGTAGATCTTTTTTTTTATTATTTTCATAACAAACACACAAATATACAGAACCTTTCACACATCCTTTCATACATGGTGGAAAAGAAGACAATAAGTATATTAACAATAATTAGTCAAGAAGACATTTCAATTAGACACATTAAATAGACATTTCCAATTGGACCATCTTTTTTTTTATAAAAAATGTTTTCTGACAGTTTTTCTTCTAAAGTATAACGATTATATAAAACTCTCAAAATATCTTTGAAAACAATACAAGAATTTTTTCTGGATTGCTGAAATAAATATTTCTTCGCCAACAAAATAATCAAGTTTATAGCTACATTATCTTTTTCAAAACTACCAAAAATAACAGTCTCTGCATCAAATTCAATTCTTTTAGCAGACTTTTGAAAAATCCAATCTGACAATGCCAGCCAAACCACAGAAACCTGTGGACAGTAAAAAAAAAATGTTTAATTGTTTCTGGTTCTTCTTCACATAATGAACAAAGTGGAGAATCTTTTATTTTATACAAGTGTAAGTATTTATTTGTACCTAAAATTCTATGAATAATTCTATAATTGAACCATATCAATGCTGAATCTTTAGTGAAGTATTTAAAGTTTGTATAAATATGCTTCCACTCAAAATCAGATTCCAACTTTAAATCAATAGTCCATTTGTTTTCACAAATAGGCCTGTGTTGTATTGTAGACATTAAATGATCATAAATATTTCTGGATCCTTTTTTATTCTGACAAAGTATTTTTAAAAATTCAGGTTGGTATGGTTTACTATAAGTAGTTTTTGGCAATTGTTTGACATTTGGCCATGAATATAAAACTGCTTGCTTTAGTCTATCATAAGTAGTGAATGGCAACTTAACTAAATAATCATTAGTGATACTTTCATAATTAATAAAATTGCCTTCTGTATCAAATAAATCATGTACTACATGGAACCCCTTTTCATACAATGCCTTATAAAATACACATTTATTTTGAATCTTTATCTTATTATTATACCACAATGGTTCTAACAATATATCTACATCATGAAAATTAAAACTTTCTAAAAATTCAGCAAAATGAAGCAAAGTTTCTTTCCAAAAAATATTTTGTATGATTTTTGCCCTTTGACTACAGTATTCAGATCCAACCTGACAAAGTTTATTAATATTACAACCAGTAATTTCAGAAAAAAATGTTTATCCAGTTTGAATTATTTGTCAATATTCTTCTAATCCATGTTAATTTTAGGGATTTAATATTAAATGTTTCTATATTAGTCATTCTACATCCACCTCTCTCAAAGTCCAACTGTAACTTTTTTCGAGATATTTTGTCAATTTTATTTTCCCATATGAATTTATACAGAATTTTTTCGAGTTGCTGTATCCACTGCACACTTGGTTTCGGAAGAGAAATAAATAAGTGTGTAAACTTTGATAAAAGCAAACTTTTTACTACCGTTATTTTTCCTAAAGGTGAAATATTTCTTTTAGACCAATGATTTATTTCTTTCTGAATAAGTTTAAATTTATTATCAAAATTAAGCTCTTCCATCTTTTCAAGATTTGCAGTGTATGTTATGCCTAAAACAGTAAATGGTTCAGTTGTCCATTTTAATCCTGTATCACTACATAAAATATATTCTTTTTACTACCGTTATTTTTCCTAAAGGTGAAATATTTCTTTTAGACCAATGATTTATTTCTTTCTGAATAAGTTTAAATTTATTATCAAAATTAAGCTCTTCCATCTTTTCAAGATTTGCAGTGTATGTTATGCCTAAAACAGTAAATGGTTCAGTTGTCCATTTTAATCCTGTATCACTACATAAAATATGTTCTGTTTTAATTTTAGATCCAATCCAGACTGCTTTTGATTTTGAAATATTACAGGGTGTTTCATAATATATGTTACATTTTGAGATCTAATTATTTTTTACCTATCATATTTCTATTACAAACTTTATATCATTTTAAACATTGAATCCTGCATTTTTGTTCCATTTGAAAAAGTCAAGAAAATCATGGTCTTGCAATGATTAAATGTGCTATATACGCCGATGTCATAATTTGAAAATTTTTCGAAATGGACTTGACATCCACTGAGTGCTGAATTGTAAAGTTGTTTTTTTTAATAATGTAGCCATTCAATATTCCTTCTATTCATTCACAAGTTCATGAAATAAATTTTCCAAAAAAATAAGCTTTGTAGGATGCTTACCAGAAGGGTAGTAACAAGGTTACAGGACAGGGACGGACAGAATGCGATAAATGACACAGTATTCCTGAAAGCCAAAAGACTTTAAGAAGCAGAGTTTTTATTGGTGAAGTCGAGACTCTTAGTGTAGCAAACTTCTGAGAAAAGTGTCTGATAGATTTTTCAGAAATTTATTCTGGCCAATATAAGTTTTTTCAGCATACATGTATAATGAACTTTAAAATATTTAAATTAATCAGTATACAAATTTTCAATACTTAATGCAAGGAGATAGTTTGACCTCTGCATTCAACGATATCAATTTTGGGGCTCTTTTCTGATGGGTTCTTAAGGATCAGGGTCTACAATCCTAGACCACAGATGCTGAATGAGCTTAAAAAGAACATGGACCTTCAAATTAGGAGTGTCTAAGCAAAAATATGTGATAAGGTTTTATACAAATTTCAAGAAGCAACTTCATTTGTTGTTGAATTCATGGAGATCATTTGGAACATGTTATGTGAACTTTTGACGTTGTGAAATTCAACCATGCAGAAATGGCGCAACTTGAAAATTTCGCTAATTTTCATTAACGTTGAAGATTTTGTTCAGTGTTTAATATTTTAGTTGTTAATTGTATATCATGAATCCTATGGATATGTGCATCAATTTGATAAAAAGACTTATCTGTATCTTTTTCTTTTGCCTGTCAAATTGAAGATTCAAAATGTAACATATATTATGAAACACCCTGTATTATTAATATTATATATAATTCTTGAAGTAGATTATTTCTTGACCTTGGTAATACCTTTTTTACGAACTTGAATCTTGATTGTAATTTCTGAAGGATTGTTGCATTTTTAATATCTTTTACATGTACAAGTACGAGGGTCATTCAAAAAGTTTTAACGTCATATTATATCCAAATTTGGTACAAATATTTTAACAACAGATTCGAATAATTTGAATAAAAAAATTGGAATGTATCCTCATATTTATTAAAATTACCAAGGATTTAGAACAGCAAAAATGGGGTCACGGAGCACCGTCAAAATTGAGTAATTTTCTGATTTTCATTTTATAGTATTTACAGCAATACCTCTAATAAATGGAGCTGAAACGAAATAAAATTTACATGTTTAAATAAAGTATTGCTGTATAAATTAAAATGAAATCAGGTTATGTAATATCTCGTTCCATTTAAAAGATATCAGCTTCTAAATACATATGGACTTGATTAAAAAAGGCAAAAAATCATGACGTTGGAGGACGTCACGGAGCAGCAAGTAGCAATAAAATTAGACTTTACATTCGGGAAACTTTTCCTACAAGTTTAAAAAATCCTTATTAATCAGGATCTGTATGAAAAAAAAATCTGTGTATTTGTATTAAGTTGAAAATACAATTTTTGAGTGGTAGCGAGTTTGAATCGGGCGATGGATTGTCTGCAAAGAAACAGCTTAAAGTTAAAAATATTGTCAAAAGAGTTAGGAACGTCATTGAACGTGATGTATGCTTCAATGTTGCAGAAATAATAAAGTTGCATGGTAAATCAAAGAATTTGAAAACAATAACATTCTAATTCAAGCTATATTTGTACAATTTTTAGCAAACCAGGTGTTAAGTATTGTGGAAATGTGTTTTGAATGGAGAAGACGCAACAAACCGTGTTTGAAATAACAAAAATGTGTATACTTTTGATAAACTTTCTGAGCGTTGTTTTGACGTTACAATATTGGTTAACCGTGCTCCGTGGTAACAAAACATATTGCTTTTAATTTTGGCTAACGTGAGTTCTGTTTAATCAAATGGAATAAAACTTCACACTTCGACAAAATAAATGTTTATGTTTACGAAAATGTGTTGATCTATAATCTTGTAATAATCATATGACGATGAGAAGCACTGTCTACGTATTTTTTGAATGACCCTCGTATATTGAGTGTTTTCAAATATAAAACAAATACTTAGTATATTGAGTGTAACAAGACCTGCATTTTTCATTTTTTTTTAACTTATAGGCATTTTTAGGTGTATATTACTAATTGTATCTTTCGTTACCTATCGTATCTTAAAAAATAATTTGGGTACTGAACGAGTCGAATATTTCATAAACTTCTTAATCTCTTCAGAATCCGTCTTCAAAGGCCGATTCTCTGGATTCTTTCTGTACATCTCCAATGACACGAGTAAAGAAAATGGGCACCTATGCTACCACGAGATCCTTGATTCTCCAACACAGAACCAGATTGTGGAATGCCCTAGTATAGGGAGATATGTTATTTACTACAACGAGCGGGATCCTAACAAAACGTACCCTGTATACTACAATAAGTACGCCTACATAGAGCTCTGCGAGGTGGAAGTATACGGTAACTTACATGTATACATTTCATGAGAGTTGTTTGAAAAGAATAGAAATTAAAAGTGGATGAGTTAAATATGTAGTATAATTTCACCTTTATACGGTTGAAATACGATAGACTGGTATTAAACATGTTTATTTTTATGCCCCCGTAAACGAAGTCTCGCGGGTACATGTATATAGTTTTTTGTCGTGTCCGTTCGCGTGTCTCTGTCTGTCTGTCTCTTTGTCTGTTTGTCTGCAAAAACTTAAACGTTATCCAAAACTTTTGATTTAGTGGAGCTATGACTTTCAAAATTGCACATTTGTATTCCTTCTGAAATGACTTTCTTTAGGTACCACCAATTTTTATCTTTTGACCAACTTTTACACAAAAATTCTTAACTTTTACTTTGGCCATATCTTTTGAACAGTAGATACCAGGACTTTAATATTTCACATAAATATTCTTTGTGGCAAGACCTTTTATTGAGTATCAATAATTTTGACCTTGGAGATTTCCGAATATGAAAAAAACTTTAACGTTGGCAATAGCTTTTGAAGGGTAAGGGCTTGGGGTTGCATATTTCACGTATGTAATCGTTGTGTGAAGACGCTTCATTGGATACCAAAAATTACGACACTGAACAGAATTTTTGAAGGGTAAGGACTTGGGCTTTCATACTAAACATATTTAATCATTGTGACAAGACCTTTCATTTGATATCAAAAACCTTGAACCTTGACTTTGAAATGTGACCCATTTTTGCACAAAAATCTTAACTTTTAATTTGGCCCTAATTTTGAAACGGTAGATACAATGAATTTCATATTTCAAATATCTATTCTTTGTGGCAAGATCTTTAATTTGAAATCAACACTTTTGACTTTGACCTTGGAGAATTTTATACTTACGAGAAAACTTTAACTTTGGGCAAAACATTTGAACGGTAAGGGCTAGGGCTTTCATTCTTCAAATATGTAATCCTTGTAAGAAGACCTTTCGTTGGATGTCAACAACGTTGACTCTTTCACATTAACCTCGAAGTTTCACCTACTTTTTACAACCTTTAGCCTATAGCATTACTTTCGATCAGTAAGGCTAGAGCTTTTGTTTTTTACATATTTAATACTTGTGACAAGACCTTTTATTCGATATCAACAACTTTGACCTTGACCTTTGTGTTTTCACAAATTTTAACCTTAGCCATAACTATTGAACGTTAAGAACCAATGCTTTCATACTTCCCAAATGTAATCTTTGAGACAAGGCCTTTATAAACCAACAACCTTGACCCTTTGACCTTGACCCTGGAGTTTGTCCTACCTTTAAAATACGTTAACCTTGGTCATAACCTTTTAACAGCTGATGCTAGAGTTTTATATTTCACATTTGTGTTTCTTGTGAAAATCCTTTACTTTAGGTACCACCGTATTTGATCTGCATTTAAGGTAGGATTCTTCTCTGGTTTCTGACTAGATGAAACATTCAAAGTATATTTGCTTATATGTCTTATATATTGAGGTGTAAGGAATTTAAAATACCATATTTTTCTTACCTCATCACAATTGTACAACTTTAAATAGAAATGGTAAACTGCCTTTGAAAACTTGCAGGGACTATATTTTTGGCGGAATGGTGGCGTATGAAAATATCTTCTTTTCTGCCTCTCAAAATTATAATAGAACAATGAATTTAGTTACAATTTTTACACAATCGAAGACTTGGAAAATTTTTCAAATGTAAGTTAAATTAATAATGAGGGACTAAACTTTCAAAATATATCAAGTAAATCTGATTTTTCAAACAAACTAGAACTTTGTTAGCTTTTAAACGCTTCCTATCAAAGTGCAGATTTGAACCAAAAATCCATAAAAAGTATTTTTTCTCTCTTAGTAAACGATCAAAACTTTTTGTTTTGTATCATTTTGTACATTTATAAGACTACTTTATTATATGTGAAAATAAGAAAAAGTTAAATATAGGAAGCATATGAAAATAACTAATATATCCTAAAAATTAAGAAAAACAGAGAAAATTCGGATTAGCCAATATCCAGTTAAGTTGAATTATTTATCTAAATTTGGTAATATCATGCTAAAGACCCGATATAGTAATATGTTTTTATGCAAAAAGAACAATCATTAAACTTTTGAAATAGAAGTAGGTATCACTTGATTGGCAAGTTATTTTTTTATTCTTAATGTCAGGAAAAAGATAATGACCTTGACCTGACCTTACCTCTAATATAAAACGGTCAAATTTAATTTCACTGATACTATCACTTACTGATATTGTCTTCTTGATTCTGTGAAAATTTCATTAATTTTTAAATATTAGAAATATGAGAAGAATCCTACCTTAAGAAAGCTTAATATTCGCTATGTTGCCATACAGGGGCACCTGTGTTTCACAAACACACCTTGTTCCATTTATGATTACGTTCTCTTTTGCAAAAACTTGTTTGTAGAACATATGGTTAACAGCATTATTTATGGCACCATCTTTAACAAAGAGTCTATTTGCTCTCTCCCGACCAACAGGTTCAAATCTTCCGACTCTTGAGTTTTGTTGGAAATCAATTTTTCCCCTTAATTTTTTATCGATAATAAAATTACTGATTTATTTTATTTTTTTTTTGGTCATCTACCTACTTACCAATTTTTTTAATTCAACCTGAGTCGGAAAAAAGATAGCAAAAAATATTTCAAAGATGACATGGAGTCTTTTCCTTGAAAACCAAAGTAAGAGAGAAAAATATCTGAGTTTTGATTATCATACAAATGCTTTCATTTACACAAGCGTTTCGATAATTTCATTCTCAAGTGCTGTTTACATTTAGAAAACTATGAAGTACAAATTGGTACAAAATATAAACCTATCAATATAACGATATTATTATCTTAGGTTGTCCAGATGTCTCTCAATATGGCGAAGACTGTCTCAATTGTTCTACTGGCTGCAAAGATGGACGTTGCGACATAAAGACGGGCACATGTTCATGTTTACAAGGATTTACGGGCTTCTACTGCAACAAAAGTATGAAATATAACTACAGACCAATATTTCTTGTCCTCATATTTCGAAGTCAAAGGGAACACTACGTAAAAATATATAAATTCGGGGTGAGATATATGTTACAAATAGGTGTTTACAGATATTTTGCTTAAGGGCTGGTTTCACGTACGTGTAGCCAGCCGTTAAGCCGTACATGAAACCAGAACCTATTAGTTTCAATAGTTAAATATTCATTCAAAAGACATAAACATTGCCATTAAAATTAAATGTTAGTGTAAAAATTTAATATTTCTGCAATGCTGGCAACGTGACAGCACATTTATTACCAAAAAATAGGCATTTTACAGTGACAAGTTTAGTAATATTGTTCCTTTGACAAAATATCATGGTCGATATTTAAAAGTTGGCTTGGTGGTTACACATAGTGTGAATGGAACTTACCAATTAAAATAACTTTTTGCAAGATCTTAAAGAGCATGCAATCTTGCGGAACCAAAAGAAGTACGAAATGTTTGCAGAGAGAAATCATATAACAAAGCTGCTTTGCATTTCAAAGATGCATTGTAAAATACATGTACTTCTCGTTTAAAACGAACTTGATTGATTATGGATATTAACGTAAATAATTATTGACCCTCCGGAGTATTTATTTGAAATCCTAATTTTTGTGTCTAGGTTGTGGTTATGGTACCTATGGAGATCAGTGTATGGGCCACTGTGGCGCATGCCGTGATGGAGAACCATGTAATCATGTGACCGGAAGCTGCGTGAATGGTTGTGCAGAGGGAAGGTACGGGGATAAATGTGTTGACGGTATGTTCTTGTAATATAACTTCTTGCACACGGAAATGTATCCATTTAGATATAAATTGTAAAGATATTCTGAATGAAGCTTCCAAAGCACATGCTTCCTTGATTCTGTCATACATACTTTCAAAATTATAACAAACGATGTCCCCTTAAAATTAAAATTACAAAGAGTACAATGGAATTCACACAAATTAAAGTAAAGTGATACAAGGAATATTGTTATATGTGTAAATATTGCAAAACCAGAAAATGATTATTATTTCACCGGAATAACCAAGACAACCTTTAGGGTTCTTGATACTTAATTTTATTGCAGAATGTCGGTCGGGGTATTATGGCTATGATTGTAACAGCACCTGCAGCGACACCTGTGTGACCCCGGGTCTGTGTAACAGATACACAGGGAAGTGTCTAGGAGGGTGTCTGTCCGGATACAAGGGGGATAAATGCGACTCAGGTGAGTAGGAAATAATTATAATCGGTTTGATTTTTGTCACTCACTTTCACTGAAAAGTGGAGTGTGTCATTGTTTTTTACCTGTCTGGTCTGATTATCATTCTGTCTGTGTGTTACACTTGTATTTCCAGACGAAATTTGAACAGGGGTGAACTTTAGTAATATAATTTAGTACGAGAATTCCCTTCAAAACAACTATAAAACAATTGTGTCAGATTTAGATGCGTCTTATTTGGTTCATGGGAAGATATTCATCCATTACATATAATCCGAACACTTTAATTCTACTACACTACAAGGGCTTCCCTTAGAAGACTGCGCGGTGTTGCTTTTTATATTTTTTTCAAATTAGAATGTGAAAGTGGAATGTATGGGGTCTCGTGTAACATGTCGTGTGGCTTTTGTTTCCATGGAGATACCTGTCACCATGTCAACGGTTCTTGTTTACGTGGTTGTAGTGAAGGTTACCAAGGAGAATTATGTGACGATGGTATGCATGTAATCATTTGGAATTATAAGCTCAATTAATTCTCATATATATTTGCATTAAAACTGATCAGTTATGAATTGCATTGTCATAAATTGCATAAAGAGATTAATTATTCTTTTTTTATTTAATACATACTGCATGTTTATTGTACAGTGTGTTCATTTGGAAAATATGGGTTATTATGTGAGCATGAATGCAGTGTGTTATGTCAGAAACCACGTGATTGTCACCACATGACTGGCAATTGTTTAAATGGATGCAGAGAGGGTTTCATTGGACCACATTGTATGGATGGTAAGTTATAATTACTTTATGTACAACGCCTGTAATATATAAATATTTTTAAGAGGTTAAGCTGTAAGTCTATGGAACATAACAGTTCTGATTCAAGTACATATTATAACATTGTTTGTTTTTTTTTTTTATTTTTTGAAAGTTTAATTATCACCTAACGCTCACTTCATAAATGATCGTGTATGCATATTGTTTTAATGTCCCTCTCGACAATTTTCACTCATATGGAGACACCACCACTTGCAGGGGTGAGTGCATATTTTGTCCTATAGTCGGCACTCAGGGCCATTGAGCAGGGAGGGATCTTTTTTGTGCCAGCACATACTGCGACACGGGACCTCGGTTTACACAGTCTGATCCAAAGGACCGGTCTCCATGTCCATACTTCGCAATTCTACAGCAGATGCTCTAACTACTGCTCCACGCGAGCGACTCATACATAGTCGTATATCCCGAATAGATCTCGAAATTTGTCACTCAAAGGACATGTTGTTAGATGTCATATATCTTTGCTGTCTTAAATATGCTCACTTTTAAATAATATTTAGTTTTTTTCGAATTTTTATTTTGAAACAAAGGCTTAGAAAAAAAGTGTGTTTTACTGATGTATTCTTTCTCTATTGTTTAAAAGGGTTACCTGGGCGAATATACTTAGAATGAATCGATACTTAACTTTTTTTATATTTTATTCTTTATCTTACTCGTTTATGAACAGTAATTAGTAATCATTTATGTTGCTTTCAGTTGAAGGTCCTGTATTTAGCAGCGGAACCACGTATGTTTTGATAGCGATTCTCAGCACTCTTGTTTTGGTGAACGTTGTCTGTATTATAGTGTTCATTATTCGAAGGTAAGATCATTGATTTCCTTATTTAAAAACAACCTCTGAAATTGAATTTGAAGTGTACTCAGAAAGTTTTGTAGTTTATTTCTTAAACTAGTGAAATAGAAATTATATAACTTACAACAGATAGTGAAGAAGGTACGGTTTCAGTAAATATTCGACCCTGTATTTTGTTAGAATATGGAAGTGAGGTAAAATCTTAAAATTCATCCTATCTCAATTTTTAAAATTCAGTGCAGTGAAAAACCTATAAATACCTCACTACTAAATGACTCTTGGCCTGAGTGCCGAGTATTGGACAAAATTCATAGCTCTCTATCGGCGTGTGGTGGCGTCTCTTTGAGAGAAAAATTCTCTTGAGGGACATCAAGCAACATATAATCAATCTTTTCTGACCGCTAAAATGCTGATTGTGAAGTAATGAACCTGTGCATTTTCCCTTATTTTCTTAAAATGTTGCAGGAAACAACAATTTTCAGTGGAATGTTCTTAAGGAAACATACAGCACAAGTATCACCCACAAGGATTTTTATATAAGTATGTGATTTTCCAAAACATTTTACACACTTTATCCGAAAAATTAAGTGGGGAATGGCTGTGGACACTATTTAATAAAAAAAAATTACCAAAGAAATGAGTCATACCTCCAGAAAGGTCATCCATCATGCCATATTCTTTAATAATTTCTCATATTTACCTACTCCTATTAAAGCCAATTTGATAACTTTTATGAACATTAGAGTTAAGGCCAAATACAGCCCAAACTGTACCTTCTTCTTTTATATTTATGTTCCCCAAACGAAGTTGGGGAACATATTGTTTTTACTCTGTTTCTTATTATTATTATGTTCCCCAAACGAAGTTGGGGAACATATTGTTTTTACTCTGTTTCTTATTATTATTATTTTTCTTCTTCTTCTTCTTCCTGGGTACTTTTTTGTCCGGGAGTGATCTTGTAAACTGTTCGTCCGATGTAGGTAAAACCTTTTTAGGGTCAGTAGGCATGTTATGTAGATTTGCGGAACGAAGGTCATTTTGCGCGCACTTGCTTGCAAGAGCGTGCACGTGCAACACGTGAAATGACCGATTTAATTGATATAGGCGTAACTTTTTACATTTTCGATGGAATGCTTTGAAACTCATAATATAACGATATATTAGTAGCATAGACAATATGACATGGTCAAAATAGCAAGATCTCACGCGCATGCACGTGCGCTTCGCTCTGATTGGCTGAAACTAAAGTCTCAATATCTTTCTTGTTTTTTGACGAAATCCTTTGAAATTTTGAACATAGCCATGCATTAGTATATCCTACAACATGATATATAGCAATTATCATGAATACACGTGCATGCACGTGCGCTGCAATCTGATTGGCTTAAGATTTAAATAGCTATAACTCCCTTGGTTTTCAACCAAACAGGATGGGATTTGGAACATAGATAGATATAATGAACTTCTACAAAGTGGTATGGTCACCATGCACATGCATACACGTGCTTATACGTGCGCTGCAATCTGATTGGCTGAAATTTAAACAGCTATAACTCCCTTGGTTTTCAACCAAACAGGGTGGGATTTAGAACATAGATAGATGTAATAGACTTCTGCAAGAAGGTATGGTCACCATGCTCATGTATGCAAGTGCGTGCACGTGAAATGAGTAAAATGAAAAATACACTTGAATGAGCGTATTTTTGAATATTTTTGGATTAAATACTTTAATATTTAGTATATTAAAATATATAGATTGTGTAGACAAGATGATATGGTCATTACGCACATGCATTCACATGCGCACACGTGCAATGCTAAAATTTGAATGAACTTGGTACACTTATGGGTAAACGTTGTTTAAGTCTCAAATGCATAGAGTTTGTCTTAAATGAAGCTTACAGGGAATGTGGCATCAAAAGAGAGTTGGGGAGCGTTTGGGGAACATCTGTAACGGTCCCCGTTACAATTAGCACTAGTTATTATTATTATTATTTTTCTTCTTCTTCTTCCTGGAACTTTTTTGTCCGGGAATGATCTTGTAAACTGTTCGTCCGATGTAGGTAAAACCTTTTTAGGGTTAGTAGACATGTTATGTAGATTTGCGCGCACGTGCTTGCAAGAGCGTGCACGTGCAACACGTGAAATGACCAATATAATAGATATAGCCACAACTGTTCTATTTTTAGATGAAATGCTTTGAAACTCATAATGTGAGGATATATTAGTAGTATAGACATGACGACATGGTGAAAATAGCAAGATCTCACGCGCATGCACGTGCACTTCGCTCTGATTGGCTGCAACTAAAGTCTCAATATCTTTCTTGTTTTTTGACGAAATCCTTTGAAATTTTGAACATAGCCATCTATTAGGATATCCTACAACATGAAATAAAGCAATTATCATGAAAACACGTGCATGCACGTGCGCTGCAATCTGATTGGCTGAAACTTTAAACAGCTATATCTCCCTTGGTTTTCAACCAAACAGGATGGGATTTGGAACATAGATAGATATAATGGACTTCTACAAGTAGGTATGGTCACCATGCACATGCATACACGTGTGTGTACATGTGCTGCAGTCTGATTGGCTGAAACTTTAAACAGCTATAACTCTCTTAGTTTTCACCCAAACGGGGTGGAATTTAGAACATAGATAGATGTAATGGACTTCTACAAGAAGGTATGGTCACCATGCTCATGTATGCACGTGCGTGCACGTGAAATGAGTAAAATCAAACATACACTTGAATGAGCCTATTTTATTAATAATTTTGGATTAAATACTTTAATATTCAGTGTATTAAAATATAGATTGTGCAGACAAGATGATATAAGGTCATGACACAAATGCATTCACATGTGCACGCGTGAAATGCTAAAGTTTAAATGATTTTTGTACACTTCTCTGTAAATGTTGTTAAAATCTCAGATGCATAGAGTTTGTCATATTTAATGAAGCTTACAGGGAATATGGCACCAAAAGGGAGTTGGGGAGCGTTTGGGGAACATCTGTAACGGTCCCCGTTACAATTAGCACTAGTTTACATTGTTATATCTTACCATTTTTAATATTAAATATTTCAAAGGATTTTTATTTTTAAAAAATGAAGTTAAACTTTGTATTAGTTAAAATCATACATCGTATGAGTAAAAAGCGTTTCAATATTGAAATCTATTGAATAGTATTTTTTCTCCTGACACTGTGTCTTATGTAATCAGCACCTATTTCTAAAGATTTATATGTAGTACCTGAAGACAAAACGGACTTCCATATTCCGCATCCCTAATCTAATTACTTTTTTGTCAAGAAAGAATGATTAAAATCTTTACATTATGTTTCTCAATGGATTTATAAGATGGTGTGTATGTACTTATTCTTTTTTTAAAGAAAAATGATTTATAGATAATTGTAGTCAAAGTGATCTGTAGAGCTACTCAAGTATGTCTATAAATCTAAAATATATTGATCAAAATTAAGAGAACAATTTAGAAGAAAAATACATTGCAATTTTTATTGTGGATTACTGTAAAATCACACATTTTTGGGTTCAATTTTTTTTCTGTTTGGGGAACAAAAGATTGGTTTGTGGTGATATGATTTCGTGGATGGAAGATGTTTTGTAGTAATGCATAAAAATTTTTACATTTGGTTGTAGGTCTACTGTCCCCATACTTGGAAAACACCGAGAAATAAAGCCAAACGAAAATCCAAACCATTTTTTTGTTTTATCTATGAGACAATATATGTTTTAGCTCACTTAGACTGAAAGCTCAAATAAGCTTTTGTGATGATATTTTGTCTGTAGCCCGTTTGTCTTGCTGTCGCAGTAGGTGCTGGCACTTTCACAAGGAAAGATTAGTTATATGTAGTCGTGATAGCATGTAAGCATCCTCCTGTAAGATACTTAATTGATATTTATTTTTAAAATAAAAAGATTTTTCAGGAACAACAGGTTATATGTTAAATTGATGCTCAGGTGAGCGATGTGGCCCATGGATTTTTTTTTATTATTTCAGATTTTCCCGCTCAAAAGACCCCAAAGCAGACGCAAGTGGGCCTAAAAAGACACCAAGGATTGTATATGAGAACGAAAACTTCACAGAAAAAGAAAGCGGCAGTTCTTACCAGGAGTTGAAATTGAATTAATTATAGTAGATTTTATCACGTACCAACTTCCTTCTTTTAAACTTGTTACATATATTCATTGCAGAAGGTGTAAATCAGCTTAGTACTCGACCATGCCTAGAAATAATTAAGAAAAGGGCCCGCCTTAAAAGGAATACCTCTTGAAAAACTACATGAGATAAATTCATGTTTGATGGTGATTTTTTTTTAAACGTATTTGTGAAATCGGTAATTTCATGTTGAAAAGGTGCCTCTCTACTTTTATATCAAGAAGGAATTTTGGTCGGAAATGTGTGACAGAAGACACTAGACAAGCCTGTTAATACTTATAACATGATGAAATTGTGTCGTTATTTTAGGAATAAAAATATATTATTATTAGACATTCACCTCAAACAAATTTCTTTATATAAAAAATGGCGTTTTCACTTTACATGTTACAAAGCAACTTAATAGCAAACGACATATACTAGGGGTTTTCATTGACATTGTTCGTTATATGTTAGACACTTTAATTATTTTGGTACTGTATGTTTTGTCTTTTACGTTTATAATACTCTGTTTCTATTTACACTAAGCTTTTTACGGGACTCCGACCCTCAGCTTCAAGGTTCTTTGCAAAGCTCCATAAATCACTTCTAATTTCATATCATGTTAATAAACATTGGTATCTAAAAAGGCTTTTTCGGGATAAAAATTTCTACTTTTATTTATACTTTTCTTAGAAGTTCAAGGAAGCACATTTACAGGCATATAATGAAAATTGTTGCATGAAAATATTTAAATTTCATGCTTCATCTAAAGACTTTTTAAATTAAATTATAAATTAAAGAGCTGTCCTTCCTGGCTGAGGGTCAGAGTCCCTTAAAAGATAATTTCAGCTTAGTTTCCCCCTTATATATGTATAAATGCCTTATAGGTATTAAATAAAAAAGAGAGTATGTTGAAAAAAAACATTGAAATGTACTGATCAAAGCTAACATTTTTAAAAACTTTAGAAAAATGTGAAAATACATGTATAAAGTGGATCACTTGCACTATTCAAACAGAAAATCATAGCCATTTATCGACATTTACTTATAAATTTCTTATCACAACTTGCATTTGATATGATTATATTCATAAAGTTTATATCATTGTGATATCGACTGCTTTACAATTACTTGTGTTTTTTCATGAGCGCCTCGATTTTCTTTTTAACATCGGGTTCGATGTCATCGGACGTTCTAGAGCTTTCAATAAAGAGTGACATTGCATAAAGGGAAGGTATAAGCAAATTTTGCTCAATACAGTGATCACAGTTATTTTATTTATATCTCAAAATTAAATTTTGATAGAATTATTCACTATGGCGTTTGATTAAAAAAAATATATTGCTTCCCTATTGTCCGTTTCATTGAACGATGTCAGTATCTTAGATTTCCTGTACGGAACCGTCGCAAACCTTGCTTTTTTGCATATTCGATATTATTTAACGAAAATGCTAGTATACTTTAAAATAAATATACGATAATTACTATGCAAGTGAAATCTGAATATATTTTAAGGACATCACCTTATACCTCATGTTTCTTTGAGGAAAAAATAGAAACTTGGGTGCAACCGTCTCGGTGTTTATTTGGAATATTTACTAATTTATAAGTATAGATTTCCCAATATTTTTATACTTACTTTATATCCCAGCAATTCAAATATTCAATGTATATGTTTTGTATACAAAAAATATTGTATTTTGTACAATGTATATTGTGTATTTTGTCTTGCATATATATTTTTTTTGCATTGTCTTTGTTTCCTTTTCATTACTCAAAGGTGTTGCTTGTTCCGAACTTGCTGATCTGTCATTTAAATATTTTTTCGTTGCATATCTGTACTTTGTTCATTTTAAAACTTATTCTGTTTTGTCGATTGTTTCACTCTTTTATTATTTTTTTATTATATTGTGTAGTGAGTGTACATGCAAAGAAATATCTCTTATTTATAATTGACCATTTTCTTTTTCTTTTTTTTTTTTTGAATTGCTTGTTAACAAAAGATTAAATATAACTTGTGAAGTATCGTCATCGTATTATATAATATTCATCATCGTATACCATCGTCAATTCTCAACATTTATAATCCTAACCTCCTTGGAGAGGACCTATATAAGCCATGTCTAATGTCCAATCCTATTATGTTAACTGACTTTAAAAAATAAAATACTGATTGAATTTAATTAATTTTTCTCAAACATTAATGGATTAAAAATACAATAACATTAAAAGAAATGATGTATTCAGTAAACATCCCTATTAAGAAGGAAAAATTGTTAATTGATAAGGAGAATTACTACATATAAAAGCATGCAATCGTTTGTTTTTATTTGGCATCATTATTAAAAACATTATCTCTGTTTTCATTGCAACATTGTAAAGTGATTAATAAATTCAGTTAAATTCTAGCAAAAAAAATATGATTTTTTTTGCCGAGGAATAGATCAGGTAACAGTATAAATTGGAGAACTAAATGCGATATATACAGCTCATTAATTTCTCGTAATCCAATGACCTTGTCAGTAAATGCCAGCGGTCATTCTTGATCCGCTGTTCATAGATATATATCTATTATTCTGTTATTTTTACT